GCTGTCGCAAATCCATGTCGCGCCTCATCTGTGAAATGTTCAAGGGTGCAGCCAGCGACAGCGAGCCCGAGATATCAAAACAATGCAATGATGCTCAGTGTTGCAAACTGCGAAAAAGTGGCTGATGCGGCGAGGATGCATTGTAGGGCGCAATGCACATGAGCGCTTAGAAACCGACAAGCCCGTGTTTGAGTTGAAAGGTCGCATCATTTGAAAGCCAGCCAGACTCTTACTTTGTACGGGGCGGGAGATGAGCAGGTCTGGGTAATGTGAGACGTGCGTTTGCTGAAACAAATTGCAGCTGCAAGGGCGGATATTATGCTTTCTGGTACTTCATCAAGACCCTTCATTGTGCAGCAGCATGTAGCCAGCCCAGCGTCAGCTCCGATGCAGCCATTGCTTCTTGCAGAATAGGGGTTCTGATATGCTGCAAAGCGAGACGGAAGGGGCAAAGGGTCGCCAAGGTGTTGCATCGCCGCTCACCGACGCCGTCCGCAGAATCGCTAATCTCGCACGGAATCGGCAAACGCAGCGAGATCTCGTATGGTTCCAAACGGGACACGCGGGTAGGGATACGTATGGAAGGCTTCCAGAAGGCAGCCCCGGTGGCACATTGTGGCACGGTGGGCTTTTGCCGGCGCCGTGGGTATTGTAGGCGTGTTGTGCGGATGCGCAGACGATGAGCGCCACCAGAGCAAAATGCTTGATCGTGTTGGCCTTTATTGCGGATGTTCGATGGAGCACTGGCGGAATGAAACAAGAAGGGCGACCTCAGGCCTGGTCAGCCCTGAAGAAGGCTGAATAGGGACTGCAAACGCCTGGTTCGGTGGTGCTCCATTGTGTCATGAAAAAAACGAATCGTGCGTGTATGCTCTCGGTCCGCTTTGGAAAAGCCAGCGACATTGCTGAACTCACGTCATGGGTCTCCATCCAGGACAGCCGCCCGAAGTGGAAGAATTTCGTGCGTCAAGTGGAGGCTTTTCACGGGACAGCCGAATGACTAGTGCTTGACGTGTGGTGTCCAAGCGGAGAAGCCTGGCTGAGTCGGGCAACATGAATCGTGAAATCGGCCGGCGTCGTCCTCTTGATGGAGGGGGGATACCGCTCTGGGCCGCGTCTCCGTTTGACGTTGGTCGGTGGTGCCATCTCGTCGATCTCATACAAATAGCTGGAGCCGCCTTAGTCGCGGGATTAGGGCGAGAAGAGGCGACAAGAAATGGATGAGGTACAGAAGGAACGGCGACAGGGAGATGGAGAGGCCACTGAAAGCCGCGTGGTTCGATACATACACACGTGGTGGG